GGAACCTGTGGCAGTCTGGGTCACATAAAGGTAGTCATCACAAAAGGCAGGATTTGAACCCAGACCCTCTGATGCCAGAGCCAGAGTATTTTTTTAAGTTTTCAGCGTTCACTTTTATAAGATTTTGAGTTCTGAATTTCTCCCCTCCCTTTCCTCCTCCCTCCCCAAGACGGCATGCAATCTGATATAGGCTATACGTGTACAGTCATATTAAACGCATTTCCACATTAGTCGTGTTGAGAAAGAAGAATCGGAACAAAAGGGGGAAGTCCATGAGAAAAGAAAAAAAAAGAGAGAAATTAGTCTGCTTTAATCTGCATCCAGACTCCATAGTTCTTTCTCTGGATGTGGACAGCATTTTCCATCATGAGTCCCTTGGTATTGTCTTAGATCATTGTATTGCTGAGAAGAGCCAAATCTATCAAAGTTGGTCATCGCACAGTGTGGCTGTTACTGTGTACAATATTCTTCTGGTTCTGCTCACTTCACTCAGCATCAGTTCATGAAAGTCTTTCCAGGTTTTTCAGAAATCCACCTGCTTGTCATTTCTTCTTCTTCTTTTTTAAAAATTTATTTTGCTTTATCAACCATCACTTCCATAAGCTTTTGAGTTTAAAATTTTTCTCCCTCTCCCTCCCCAAGACAGTGCGCAATCTGATATACGTTATACATATACCTTCCTATTAAACATGTTTTCACATTAGTCATGTTGTAAGGAAGTATTAGAATAGGAGGTATTAGAACTGATAGGAGAAACCACCAGAAAGAGGAAACAAAACACAACAGAAGAAAAAAAATAACAAATAGTATGCTTTGATCTGCATTCAAATTCTATAGTTCTTTCCTTGGATGTGAATAGCATTTTCCATCATGAGGCCTTTGGAGCTGTCCTAGATCCTTGTATTGCTGGGAAGGGCCAAGTCCATCAGTATTAGTCATTGCACAATGTGGCTGTTACTGTGTACAGCGTTCTCTTGGTTCTGCTCACTTCACTCAGCACCAGACCATACAAGTCTTTCTAGGTTTTTCTGAAGTCAGCCTGCTCATCGTTTCTTATAGCACAATAGTATTCCATTACATTCGCATACTACAACTTGTCTAGTCATTCCCCGATTGATGGGCGTCCTCTCAATGTCCAATTCTTTGCTACCACAGAAAAGAGCTGCTATATTTTTGTGCATGTGGGTCCTTTTCCCATTTGTATGATCTCTTTGGAATATAGCCCTAGAAGTGCTATTGCTGGGTCAATGGGTATGCACATTTTCGTAGCCCTTTGGGCATAGTTCCAAATTGCTCTCAAATGGTTGGAGCAGTTCACAACTCCACCAATAATGCATTAGTTTTCCAATTTTCCCAAATCTTCTCCAGTATTTATCATTTTCCTGTTTTGTCATGTTAGCCAATCTGATGGGTGTGATGTGGTCCCTCAGAGCTGTTTTGATTTGCATGTCTCTAATAAATAGTGATTTAGAGCATTTTTTCATATGACTATAGATGGCTTTAATTTCTTCACCTGAGAACTGCCTGTTCATAATCCTTTGACCATTTATCCATTGGGGACTGACTTAATTCCCTATATATTTTAGAAATGTGGCCTGTATCAGAGACACTAGTTGTAAAAATTCCCAATTTTCTACTTTCCTTCTAATCTTAGATGCATTGGCTTTGTACAAAAACTTTTCAATTTAATGTAATCAAAGTTATCCATTTTGCATTTCATAATGTTCTCTATCTCCTGTTTGGTCATGAATGCTACTGTTCTCCATACATCTGATAGGTAAACTATTCCTTGCTCTCCCAGTTTGCTTCTAGTATCAGCCTTTATATCTAAGTCATGAGCCCATTTTGACTTTATTTTGGTATATGGTGTGAGATTTGGGTCTATGCCTCGTTTCTGCCATACTCTTTTCCAGTTTTCCCAGCAGTTTTTGTCAAAGAGTGGGTTCTCATCCCAGAAGCTGGGGTCTTTGGGTTTATCAGGTAGTAGATTACTATAGTCATTGACTACTGTGTCTTGTGTACCTAACGTATTCCACTGATCCACCTCTCTATTTCTTAGCCAGTACCAAGCTGTTTTGATGATTGCTGCTTTATGATACAATTTAAGATCTGGAATCCTAAGCCACCTTCCCCTGCATTTCTTTTCATTAGCTCCCTTGATATTCTGGACCTTTTGTTATTCCAAATGAATCTTGTTATTATTTTTTCTAACTCTATAAACTAGTTTTTTTGGTAGTTTGACTGATAGGGCACTGTGTCATTTCTTAGGAAACGATAGTATTCCATTACATTCATATATCACAACTTGTTTAGCCCCTCAATTTCCCGTTCTTTGCTACCACTAAAAGAGCTGCTGTAAATATTTTTGTACATGTGGGTCCTTTTCCCATTTGTATGATCTCTTGGGGATACAGCTCTAGAAGTGCTGTTGCTGGATCAAAGGGTGTACACATTTTTATAGCCCTTTGGGCATGGTTCCAAATTTCTCTCCAGAATGTTTGCATCAGTTCACAAATCCACCAACAGTGCATTAGTGTTCCAGTTTTCCCACATCTTTTCCCAGCATTTATCGTTTTTCCTGTTTTGTCACGTTAGCCAGTCTGATGGGTGTGAGGTGGTAGGTACCTTGGAGTTGTTTTAATTTCTGTTTCTCATAGTGATTGAGAACATTTTTTCATATGACTGTAAAGAGCTTTAATTACACTTCATCTGAAAGCTGCCTGTTCACATCAGTTGGGTAATGACTAATAAATTGGATTCAGTTCTCTGTCCAGTAGAGAAATGAGGCCTCTACCAGAGACACTGGCTGTGAAGATCATCTCCCACTTTTGTTTTCCTTCTCATCTTGGTTGCATTGGTTTTGTTTGTGCAAAACCTCTTTATTTTAATATGGTCGAGACTGCGTGTTGGTCAGAAGACGCTACACAAGGATGCTCTCAAGGTCTGTCTTAAGAACTTTGGAGTTGATTGTGTGCCTTGAGGGGCACTGGCACAGGACAACACAACGTGGTGCGCCCACTCTATGGGCAGAGCAGAATTGAAGGAGCTCAAAAGAAAGGCGAGATGCGCAAATTTAGGAAGTCCACCCTGAAGGTTCGTATGGACTGTTCAGCCTGTGGCCGAGCCTTCTGAGCTCCTCTTGGTCTGAGCAGCCCAGTGAGACACACTGTAACTTGACTGCAGCATAGTGGTGTCGCTTTGGTCCTCCTTGAGAAGGGCGGACAGCAGTCAGCCAGCTGGTGGGGGGTTCAGAATCCCTGCTGCGGGGAGGAGTCTGATGGTGGAAACATGCTAGTCATGGACAGATGAGCTCGGGTGTCTTACAACATGGGTAAGATTTCACTCTCAGGGTGCTGGGCAGCCAGGTGATGAGGGGACCGCTTGGGGGAGCTGATAGAACGCTGTTTCTCTCCTTGCAGCTAGGCCAGGCCAGGTGATAGGTGGAGGGAGCAGCGTGGAATGGTCCAGGAAGCTGGCGTGCAGTGGAATGCTGCCTTCTCTTTGTTCCCTGTGGGTGGGCAGGGGCCCCCGCAAGTGGGAAGAACCAGCCTAGGAGACCCACATGGGATGGAATGGCCAGTCTAATCTCATTATTTTAGCAGTGGTGCAACAGATCTGGAGGTGACTTGTCCAAGGTCATGTGGAGTCAAAGAGGAGTCTAAATGGAAGGTCTGCAGTGGAGTGGGGGAAGGAAGGGAGGCTGCCAGGCTGTGTATTGAGAGCAGCACTTTCATTTCTTTTTGTGTGTGTGGTGAGGGAGGGGTGGTAGGAAGCTGTGAACACTATTTTCCTGCTCAGAGGAGGGGTTTCTCTGAACACAGATGAGTGATGTGACGTTTCAAAAGTGGATTTTATGCCAGTAGTAAGGTTTAAATTAAAACAGATTCTTTCAGAAATATGCAAAGGGAGATCTAATTCAGAAGATGAACAAAAAGAAAGCAGATTCACCGCTCAAGCAGGAACCTGGTCTGTTTGTTCCCTGAGAGTCCTCAGGTCTCCCTGGAGATCTTGGAGCCTGATGTGACCCACCTGGCAGCCGTCTCCTGCCTCTGAACCTCCTCTTTTCTTGCATTCTTGTGTCCCCATGCTTTACGGGAATTCACAGCGGTCTGTGGCACCCTCCCCTTCCACAGACCCTGCTGTCCCCACCTTGCATTTTTTATTAGTGATGATGATAATGGCTGGCCATAACATCACTTAGCACTTGGCAGACATTGCCGGATGGGAGCCTTAGCTCTGTGCAGGGGAGCGACATACAGCATCCTCATTTTATTTGTCAGGAAAGCAAAGCTCAGATGGAAGGGTGTGTTTGCCCCCAGTCCTGTAGCCTGTGGGAGATAGGGGATTCGAACCCCTTGTCTCTCGTTCCGGGGTCAGCTCTTTTTCCTGTGCCAGGGTACCTCCTGTTGGTATAGAGTTGAGTGGGATGATTCATTAAGCACCAGGATAGGATGGATTTCAGGCTTTCTCTAGCGCACCGAGGTTTCCAGTCCTTCCAAGTCTGATCTGTCTTTTTCCCAGACAAGATCTCTCTGGTCCGGCTCCAAAACAGATGACTCGATTTCCATAGTTTCTGAAAGCATGAGCCGCTGGTCTCCCTGGTTGCCCCCATTCCCATCTGTATTGCTGGGGTCGCCCGGCCTCCAAGAGCAGGGGCTTGGCTTTCAGGTCAGGGCTTCTGATTTGAATGCCAGTTCTCTCTTCATTGTGCCTTACTTACTTACTATGTACACACTTATGTATACACTGTTTTCTTATTAAATAATCAAACCATAATGGAATATAAACCAGTCTTCCTCTGACTCCAAAGGCATTCATGGGTAACTGTCCTTTCCCTGTGTTGTTTTTGAAAAGTTATATGGATTGTTGGTTGTCTGGATAGGTGAAAGTGGGCTGTGCTGGGTGTTGTCACCTTGAGGTGAGATGTCCTTCCCCAGTGGTTGGGGCTGGGGCTGCTGGGCAGACTTCCAGGCCCGGCTGACTCATAGCTCTTTCTCCAGGTGGTCCTTGGGGAGCAGCGGAAGCGAGAGCGGAGCCGGAGCCCCTCTGATGATGAGCCTCAGTGCACAGGTAGGGACGGATTTCCACGAGCTTTCTCCCCTCTCTAACTCTCCCTCCCCCAAGGCTCGTCTTGTTTTCCCTGTCGTGATGAAGAGAGAGGTTTGTTGGAGCTTTAATTTTCTTTAAAAAAAAAGATTAACAGCCTTTCTGTTTTATCCCTCTACTTCTTTAAAAACAAAAAAATCACTTTATTTTCACTTCTAAGTGTTCTCTTCCTCCCCTTCTCCACCCATTGTGAAAGAAAAAGACAGAAAACCCTTTAGAAATATGTACAGTGAAAAACATTTCTGCATCAGCCATGTCTTCCTCCGCTTCCCCTTCCTCCAAAAAAAGGGGGGAAAGAAGGAAATAGAAGAAAACGTGCTTCAGCGTGCACTCTGAGGCCGCCACGTCTCTGTCGGGAGGTAGGTGGCATGTTTCATCATGAGTCTCTTGGAGTTGTGCTGGGTCATTGTGTAGATCAGAATTAGTGAGTCTTTGCAGTGTTGTAGTTACTGTATAAACGGTTCTTCATTCTGCATCACCTCACACAGGTTTTCCCGGAATTCTCTGAAACCCTCCCCTTGGTCCTTTCGCTCTAGTACGGTAGTGTTCCATCCCATTCACCCGCCATTCTGCAGTTGCTGGGCACGCTGCCCTCGGCTTCCAGTCTCCCTGCCTGTTTCCTCACCTCTCATGTGAAGATGATGCGCTAACTCATGGGGCTGGGGGGGGGGCACTACGAGTGCGACGTTGGCGCTCCCTCCACCAGTAAAGATGGCGGCCTCTCTAGCCGGAGCAGAGGGTTTGAGGAGTTGCTGGGTTCACCTCTTGAGCGATGACCCTGAGCTCCCCTCACTGGCTGGTCCCCATGACAGCCATCATCGGGGCCTAGATCGGGAGCTTTTCTTATACTCTGCTGGCAGAGTAGGGGGCAGCTTGGGATCACCTGCCTCCCGCGGGAAGATTAGTGTTGGGACTCAAGCAGCACCTGGCCTGCTGGAAATGCTGTGTCTTTGTACCCTCAGGACCTGCTCCTGGGCCTTTAATAAAGGAGGGGGGAAGGGTCAAATGGACTCGTCTTTTAAATCAGAACTGCTTTTCTAGGAAAGTGAGCTCCTTGTGGACCACCCCGCCCACTGGCAGTCTCTCACCAGGACCCTCTGGTCCTGCGCTTCCTGCTAGTGATCGGTCTAGGGAAGGGGGTCCCTGACGGACGTCTCCTCTGGGCAGTGCTGATCATTTGGCGAACCCACCTGGAGGAGGGGCACGGTCTCCCCAGCTTATATGGTGAAGGGGCGGTAGGCCAGAGGAACTTCCTGTGAAACTTCAAGGAATTTGGAGTTTTAAACTGAGGACCATGAGCTAGATGCCACTTAGCCCCTTCCAGACCTAGGCTTAAACCCTAAGAAGATGGCACACTTGGTCCTCCAGTGTTTTGGCTGTGCACTTTGTTAGGTTCTGTGTGCACAAAGAACAATAAGGCTGGGCCCAGTCTTCAAAGAGCTTGTGCTCTAATAGGATCTGGTCGCTCTGGACTCTGCTGTCATTGTGTTGAGCTCACCATGGCCCTGGTTTTCTCCTGGGAGGAGCCTCAGTCAGGAGCCTCAGCGGTGGCCTCTGTGGGCCCCCAGGAGACCTGTCCCCGCTGGGTTTTTCCCCTAGGAGTACCGCCTCCTTTCCCCCAGCTTTCATTCATGGCGTGGAGCCAGTTCTCTGCCTTTTCTGAAACCATTTTCCTGGGCTCTCTTGGAAATGCTGTAGAATGGAAGCTTTGATCAGCAGTGTTTGCTGGAGAGGGAAGCCCAGCTGAGTTCCCACTTCCCCAAGGGTTACTGAAGGGAAGGGAGCGGGAGGTAGGGGTCCAGAAGGGGACCTGAAGAGTCTCTGGAGGAGGGTTGCCACTCCCTGCTTGCATGAGCATTGGGACAAAGTCACCCAGCTTGGGAAGTCACATTGGGATTGGGAATCAGCTGTTCCTGGCACCAAATTCGGCACCCTGTCTACAATGTTACATGCAGCTCTTTGACCCTGAGGGGTCACAGGCAATCCAGTGGGGCCTCTTGTCTAAACGTTTGTCTTGTCTAAACTAGTGACCGGCTAGTGTTTCCATCCTGGTACCTGGTCACATTTGTAAGTGAAGCTGAGGTCAAGAGCCAGAGGTGGTTCTCGGTGGAGGATGAGTGGCTGCCCCCTTCCTGCACGGCCTGGCCCCCCCCCCGGCCATCACCCTCTCGGTACTTGGTGCTCTTACACGCTGGACCTCTGGCTGTCCGCTTTAGTGTTCTCCCTTCCTGACTCCTGAGATCCAAAATTACCGCCAGCATGCTATGTAAATTAACCCCACTTTACGACTCACGCATCAAGAGGTCTGCCTCGCACGTGCTGCACGCACTAGCCCTTAGTAAATATTGTTGGGTTGGGTGACCAGCTGGTGGTCTCAGAGCAAGCTGTGGCTTCAGGGTCTCTCCTTTCTCCCCTTCCACCCCTGTGCCCTGAGGCCTGCCTGGGTTTGGGCCTGCACAGGCAGTGCCAATAGCAGCAGCGACTCTGAAGAGGGTGTGTTAGCTCAAGGCCGTCTTTACTTGGTAGAACAGTGTTGGAGACCCGGCCCTGCCTGACTCACCCCATGCCCCTGGTGCTGATGGTTACTTTCTCCCTACATCTAGATTTCACAATAATGTTGCTGCTTCCTCCTGGAGGGAGAGCAGACCCCATTTGAAGGAAGCTACCCTCATGGACTTTCCTTCTGAGGGGCGCCTGGAGGCTGGGTGCTAGGCCTGTGACTGCACCAGTGTCCAGAGTCCCCGTCCAGATGCTCCGAGCATTAACTGTTCTGGGACTGCTCTGAGTTGGAGAGCTGCGGCTGGCCAGCAGCTGGCCCAAATGGGCCCTTGGCAAAACTTGAGCCCCGGTCTTCCCTGACTTCAGGCTGAAGTCACTGCTCCACGTTGCTTCTCACCCTTCTGATGAAGAGGTTTAGTAAATCGGATCTATTATAACATTTTTATCTTATTTCTTAAAGTACTTTTTAATCAGACCTGGACTCCAGGTCATAGAATCATAGATTTTGAACTCATCTGGTCCAATTCTGTCATTGCCCAGAGAGGCCAAGTGAGTTAAGTTCCCACGGATCGTACGTGGCAGAGCAGATATGGGAACCAACGGTGTCTGTCACCAAGTCCCTGTTCTTTCCCACCATGTCCCCAGATTTGAAGCGTCCATTCACAAGGGTTCAAGGATATTGTGGTTTGGGGGATGAATGAAGCCCAGTGTAACTGGGGTTGGGGGGCGGGTGGGAGGGAGAGCTCCTGGTGAGGCGCTCTGTGAAGAGGATGTGGCACAAGAGAGCAGCCTCAAGAGGGGAGGCACTTTCTGATATGATATTGTGGGGAAAATGTCAAGTGCTTATGTATGGATGCCATATTCGTTTCTTTTTTTGTGAAAACTTGCCTTGGTTTAGCTCATTCAGAGCGGTGTTTTGATGCTGAATAAAGGCACGGTGCCATACCTACTCCCAGTGCTTGGTTTTGTTTTTTTCTCTGTTTTCCTTTAGACTTCTTATTGCCCCCACCCCACAACAAACTGACAATTTAGCTTATCCAAGGAATTCTGTTCGGTTCCTGTGTGGTCTTCATATAGAAGTTGTATAGAAGGTTTCCACATTCGTGTCTTTCAATATTTCAAAATTAAATTTCTTTTGGATGATGATTAGAAAGCTAACCAATACACATTACCCAAAGATTTCCATGTGGTGAGTGCTTAATATATGTATTCATTTGTGGATCCCCAAGAACCATGTTCAGATGCTGCCTAAGGGGACAGACTTTGGGACTGGGAAGAATCCTTGAAAGATCACTTATCACATAACACTTACTAGCTGTGTGAGCCTGGGCAAGTCACTTAACCCCATTGCTTAGCTAAAAACAAAAACAAAAAACAAGAGGTCTTATTAAATGGGGAATGAAAGAGGATTGGGGGTTAGAGAGAGAGAGAGAGAGAGAGAGAGAGAGAGAGAGAGTGTGTGTGTGTGTGTGTGTGTGTGTGTGTGTGTGTATGAGAGAGAGAGAGAGAGAGAAAGAGAGAGAGAGAGAGATAGGGGAGGGGGAAGAAAATCTTCCTCTAGCCAACGACCTCCATGGATTTGAGCAGATTACACCCTGACGCGCCCTTTCACCCCAATGCGGTCCTGTCCTTGGTGGAGCCTGCCCATTGATGCTTTCCTCAGACCCTTGGAGGCTGTCCTGAGGCTTGGCTGCTTTCACTGACCCCTTGTGATCATACCTGGGATGATTTCCTTCCTGCTGCTCACCTCGCACAAGTCATCACCATTGGTGATGCACCATGACATTCTCTTGTTCCTCAGGTCACTTGCCTGGTGGTGTCCTCCTAGTCACAGCCACGTGGCATCTGCAGGAGGTGGAATTGTCAGAAGGATAGATTCCCACGGCAGTGAGCCATCTGGGATCACTGGAAGTACTGAGCATTTTTAAAAAATTTAAATTCTCTCTTTTTACTCTGAATCTAACAATTATCAGCAAAAATGAACATGTATATAATGTGTGTGTGTGTGTGTGTGTGTGTGTGTGTGTGTGTGTGTGTGTGTGTAGGATAGAAGAGAATTCTGTTTGAAACCATGAGCTTGTTATATGTAGTTTGTTTTTCTTAAAAAACAAATGCATATTTAATATTGTAATAATGAACTTGCCGCGTCAGTCCCTTTGGGAATTTCTTTTAATGCTTTTCTGATGCTCTTTTTTCATCCCTAACACATCCCGCTGACTCATACCCCTCCTGCCCCAGGAGTCCTCTCTTACAACAAATACACAGAGTCAAGCACAGTAATTCAGCTCATTGACTCCATCTGACAGGATGTGTCTCATTCTGCCCCCCCAAGGCCACCTTTTTGCCAGGCACAGTGACCTGTGTGACCAGGGGGAAACATTGTCTCAGACCCAGACCAGGCTGCTTTCTTCTCATTTTGGGGCCTAGCTCATCCAGGATAACCTAACAAGGGGCCAGCCACTGATTACATCTCATCCTCTGTGCTGTGTTCCATCTTCATCCATGTTGTACATATATATGTGTACGTGGCTCAGCCAGCCTTTTGTGTTACAGAATGGGGAGGAGGGGAAACGTAGACAAAAGGGGAGAAAATCTTTGGCGTCTTTCCAAGGATGTAGATCCAGATAGAAACAAAAGGCTGAGATGGTACCTTTAAAAAAGGACTTTTCTTCACTCTAGTCCTAGGAGGCAAGAAGCAACGTCCTCGTTTTGCAGGTGAGTGGACTGAGGCTCCAAAAGCTGGGGTGGTTTCCCCTTGCTCCCACATCCAGTCAGCCTCTGAGTCAGGCCTCCTGCCTCCAGACTGAACATTCTTCTCCCTCCCTCATGAATGCCTTTGGGTGTGAGTTATACCCTATGGTACCACCCCCAGAGTTTGTATTATTCTGGGAGGAAAATAATGTCATGAAATAGCTGCTAAGCCTTTGACAAATTCCATTTAATTCCACAAGTAGTTGTGAAAAAACACACCCTGTGGGCAGAGGATTGTGCTGGGTGCTTGGGGCAGGGCCTGGGGTCACGTTGGTGTGGGCACCTCCTTATCACTAGGACAGGCTGGCACTTCCTCTGTAATTGAGGGATCACTTCGCTTTGTACTATTTCACTACAAAAGCTTTGTTTGAGAGGGTCTTTCCCCCTTTCTCAGGCACCTCCATGTAAAACCTGTGCGTCTAGCATTTACAACAGCGGAGCCTGCCCATTGGCGCTTTCCTCTCTTACAATGACAGCATCCCCGTAATGATTCTAGTAAGATGAAATTCAATGTGAACAGAAAGAAAGGCTCCATAGATGAAAATGTTTGTGCCAGCCCCCTTTGAGATAAGTGAGAGATGTGCAAACGAAGTGTGAGGATGGATGACCAAAGTGTGGTATGTACGGGGCTGTTGCTGTGCTCTAAGAAATGACCGACGTGGTGAAGACTGAAAAGCCTGAAGACTTAGATGAACTGACAGAAAGGAAAGTCAGTGGAGCCAGTGATGTGAAGGGCAAGAACGAAGAAAATGAAATGATGCTTTGTAATTCTAATGACCACTTTGGCCCCAGAAAAGATGCACTGCCCTTTGCAGGAGGGAGAAACTCTTGGTGTGCAGTGTTGCATGTGGTGTCAGGCTCAGGGGACATATTAGATAGTTTTTTTCCTCATTTTAAAAATTTCATTGAAAGGAAAGACTTGGGTTGTTGGGGAGGAGATGTATTTAGAAATAAAGGCAGTGTTAAAACAAGGTCAAGCACTTTAAAAAAATCTTCAGAGATAAAATTTACATCATAAGTTAAATCACAATTCAAAATTCAAAAAAAGGTTAGATGATCACTTGTCCATTGTGGATTGGATTTAATGACCAAGGTAAGACAACAACACCCCCTGACACCACCAGAAGTGTGCTCTCTGTCAGTTATCTATCACTTTTTGCAGTGTGGGGTCACAGAAGAGAAAACTGTTTATGAGAGAGAGAGAGAAATAGATGGTACGTTAAAACCTTTGTATTTCCTTGAACCCCTACCCTCTCAGTTGTCTCCAAGTTCTGAGCATAACATCTATTTCTGAAACCAAGTAACAAGCCCCCGTCTCAGTTATTGAAACCAATATAAACACAAGTAATGGCATTATCAAGTTAACAAGCCTTTATTAAGCACCTACTGTGTGCCAGGCACTCTGCTAAGTGCTAGGATTCTAAGAAAGGCAAAAATAGCCCCTACCCTCAAGGAGCTCCCAGTCTAATGGGAGAGACAGTGTGCAAACACTCTGAATGTCCAAGATACACGTCGGGTCAGTTTATTCTGGTGTGGACAGTGGTATGTGGATGGATTTGCAGAAGGGGTGGGGTTCTGGGTTATAACACTTGAAAAGGCTAATGTTGGTGGGCTGGTCTGGCAAAGGGCAGAGCACATGATGATGCCCGAGGAAGCAGCCCTTCCCTCAAAGACACCTTGAGTCAGACAACTGTTTCTTGAACTTAGCTTTGGTTTTTGCGCATAGCGTCTGTTGAGATTAGGCATTGCTGAAATCACCATCACCTCCCGGCAAAAGACACTCCATATCCCAGTGGGCTGCATAGCCGATGCCCAGTTAAGCAACCAGCCTGAAACCCAGGAAGATCCCTATGTTGGCATTTGGGGCAAATAAGTGTATAGCCACTCTTTTCATTTTGTTTTTTATTGTTTTAATGATGCCTCTCCTTTTTACATCCTGTGCATTTCCAGATACACTGCTAAGAAAGGCTTCTCTTGTGTCTGTGTTCACTCCTAAAATCTGAACATAAGATTTCTTCCTCAACAGCAAATTCAGCCTCAGACAGTTGCCAGCTTTGTGACCCTGGGCAAGTCACTTAAACTCTGTTTGCCTCATTTTCCTCATCTGTAAAATGGGGATAATAATAGCACCTACCTCCCTGGGTTGTTTTGAGGATTTGATGAGGTGGTGCTTGCAGCATATAAATGTTAGCTATTATTGTTTATTATTATTATCATCATCGCTTTAGCCGCACTTCTGTGTCTGTTCCCCTTCCTGAATACATCCACGTGTCCTGTATTTGGCTGAACTCACCTGACTCGTTCCCTAGCTTGTAACTGATCCTGTTGTTTATCTTCCCTTGTATATTGAACCAAGCCAGGTTTAGGGGGAATCCACGTTTGCCATTTTTCCATGCACAGAAATGCCTAATTTATTCCTACCTTTTGTTTCCTAGGTCCTAAGCTGTTTTCCTCTCCATGACAAACAGTTTTGCCAAAACCCATGGTGGGTTAATCCTGGGTTGGGGATGGGGGATAGGGACTAGACTTTGTTATGTAACCTTGTCAGTGGTTTTAGGGAAGTCTGAATTATGCCAGCTGGCTCCTCCTTAACCATTATTTGGGTTTTTTTCTTCAGTGAATTCTAGTTTATTAAACGAAGGTGTTCCCTTATAGAAAGAACATTGCCTCCTTTCTTTATCCAAGTCACTCCTGCCTAAGTGTTCAGCAGTCCTACCCTTTATTAGCCAGGTAGATCTCAAGTTTACTGTTATGTCGTTGCCAGGTGCTCCTCTGGGTCTATTCTTCCAGATGGGAGGCACAATAGAAATTTAGCGTCTGACAGGATGGTTCCATAGTCCACGCTCCTATAAGGAGTGTGATGCTCAGGTCTGGACAAGAGCCTTCAGTGGAAACTGACCAGGAAATTAGAGGCCTTAGGCCTGGTCCCAAGGATCAGCTGAAGCTCCGTTGGCCCTGAAGTGCAGACCTAGGAGCAGCGGAAGCGAATGGGAGAGAGGAGGATTCAGGACGAACCTCCTGATCTTGGAGGGCTTTCTCCAGACGGCTTGGGCAGCCTCAGGCAGTGGTAGGCTGCCCCTTCTTGGCTGGGTGGCCACTTACAAGCATGGTGTATCCCGGTTGGTGTTTTGTTTTGTTTGAATTGGACTAGAGGTCCCTTCTGTGTTGTGGAATCCAACAGGTTTTGTCCAGCCTAGAGCTTGGCAAGAAAGGGGTAATTCAAGTGACATTGTCCTCCTTTTATGGATGAAGAAACAGGGGCTCCCTAAGTCCTAGAGCCTGTGAGTAAGGGTCAGGATTCACATCCAGAGCTTATGCCACTATACCATGGTGCTCTGAGAAAAGTGGGATGGTTTCCCTGTCCACCCTGGACCTCCTTCAGCACCCTTGGGAGGAGCCTGACTGCTCCTGGGGATCAATTCTCATCTCGTGAACCTCAGCATCCACTCCACGCATGGCTCTCCTCTGCCACAAGACCATGCCTTCCTTTTCCGGCTGGAGAAGGAGATGGCAAACTAACCCAGAATCCTGGCTGAGACAACCCCAGATGTGATCTCCACAACAACACTGTTTCTCTACAGGCCTCAGTCTCCCTTTTTCATTAGGGAGCGGGGGTTTTGTTGACATCTCCATTTCCCCATCCCTTTGCCTGGGCCAGATCCAGCGCCAACGGCAGGTGGTAGAGGTCTTTTCTGGGGTTCCAGTGAAGTGGGTAGAAAAGAGGTTTTCTGCAGATTGTTTACTCAAGATAAGCTTTTCCTGTTTCTCCCATGACGTTTGTATTTCACTGTATTCCTGCCTTTTGAAAATGTTTTATTGATGCTTTTTTTACCTCCCTGTCCTGTCCCTGTCACACTGCCAATAGAAACATAAGCAAGCATTGATAAAAGCATACTTTGTGGGAGGTACTAGGTGAAATGTTCTCGAGACCAAGAAAGGCAAAAACATGATTCCTGCCCTCAGGGAGCTCACATTCCCATGGGATAGAGTGTGTGTCAGTAGTGCTATATATATATGAGAGAGAGAGAGAGAGAGAGAGAGAGAGAGAGAGAGCGCGAGCACAAGATAGACTGACCCACCCCTGGCCCATACCATTAAACCTCCTTCTTGGTTGGTGTCAGGAAAAGTCAGGCTTGTGCTGGCCACCTGCCTCCAGTCAAGACCGTTCCTGCATTGCTGGGAGGGAATCCTGGTGTCATTTGGAAAGTATTTTTCCTTTACATTCTCCTGGCCATTGTACATATTGTGGCTTTTTAAAAATTATTATTTTGCCTCTTTTGCTGTGCATTAGTTGTTCCTCTGAATTCAATATATTTATTGTTTCTTGTGGCATAATAATATTCCATTACATGCATTTACCACATTTTGCAGCAATTCCCTAGCCAGTGGGCACCCATTTTTTTCTAGTTTTTTACTCCTACTAGAAGTGCTGCTATAAATAAATGTTTTGGCAAACACAGAGCCTTTCCTACTAGCTAAGACATTTTTAGGGTTTTTGCCTAGTGGCATGATCAGTGTTGTCAGAGTTGTTTCCTTTTTTAAAAAATGAGTACCCAAATGATAAGTTGATTTTCTCTCTCCAGGGGATTTTTTTTTCCAGGTTTAAGCATTTTTAAAATACGTTTTGTTTCTATTTCTTGTTTTTATGTTACCTATTTCCTAATCTATTCCTCACCCATCTCTCTCCTGGAAAACCATTTCTTAAGACAAAGAAAAAGAGAAAAACAGCATTCAGTGAAACTGACCTACCCTTTGTTCTACAACCATAGATCGCCTCCTCCTCCTCCTCCTCCCCTGCACCCGAGAAGGGAGGGAGATGCCAACCTCTCCCCAGGAGATTGAGTTTCATTGTGTTGCTGTCCTCTCTAGAAGATTCCTTAGGGCTACTCAGAAGCAAATCCAGAAGGACTCCACACCTGACCTGTGCAGAGCTTGGTTGAGAGGTTGCCTGGTGTATTGGAGTAGGAGCTCCCTGAGGGCAAGAATGGTTTAATTTTGGTCTTTGTATCTTCACACCGGACAGAGTACCATGAAAGGGTTGAATCTAACTGAACTGGGGGGTCAGCACAGCTGAGCAGCCTCTGAGCCTCAATGTCTTCATGTTAGAGCCAGAGGCTTCAGCCAGGTGCTCTTCAGTCCCTCTCTCCAGCTCTGTGATTGACATCCTAAGCCCCTCAGTGTTCTCTTGTGACCTTCCCATGGCTGTTTCTACCACAAGTTCCAAAGCTCAGTGTGGCATTTCCGTCATGGCATGTCCTGTTGACAGTATTGCTATTAGGTTCTCCTAGACTCTCCTGTAGAATGACCCTAGCCCTTTCTCTGACCAGCTGTATGATGCTGATCAGGCCACTTGACTTCAGAGGCTCAGTTACCTTATCTAGAAAATAGGATTAATGACCACGAGCCACCTCACATGGTTGGAGGATCAAGTGAGATCTGTAAAGTGCAGTTTTTATTATTATTGCTATTGTAATTGTTATTATCATCATCCATGCCCCACCAGATCTCTGATGCCTTTTCAATCCAGAGCCACGCCTGGATCTTTGGATGCTGGCCCATCCATTTTTGTTTATCTGTACGTGGATGAGTTCACAGGATCGGTCGGACCAAAGCATTATATCTTTTGTGTGGACCTTGGCTCACCTGCCACCTCCCACACCTGTCAGTTGTTTTGATGTTATGTACAGGTGTCTTGATTAAAACCTTCATCCCTGGAAGTACTTTGGGGAGGTCTCATTTCACCCCTGTGGTGAATCCTTCTCCCAGTGTAGACTCTACTCCCTTGGTACCTCAGTAGATGGTCATCGCCGGTTGCTGTGGCCAAAGATATTCATCTCCCATTGAGCAGCCTACTGAAGTTGCACATCTCCAGACTTGTGTAGTCTACTCAGAATATTCCCTTCAGCATGCTGTAGTGGGAACCTGGCTTGGACCTAAATCGTGAACTTTGTGGTTTACTACCTGCATAATCTTGGGTAAGCCCCTTCTCTGGACCTCAGTTTCCTCATCTGTCAAATGAAGCAGCCGGAGTAGGTGTCCTCCAAGTCTCCTGCCAGCTCCAAATCCATGTCACACTGAAGTGTCCAAAGGAGATCTCCTTTATCAGACCTCTGAATGTGCTCCAGGGCTCTAGGATCTCTGATTTCATTGGTGTAGAAGCCCCTTCCTCCAACACAGATGTCAACTCCCTCTCTAGTCTAGTAGCCACTTTTTTTTTTTTGAGTTGCAGTGACCCAAAGATCCACCACCACATGGCCATAGGACAGAGCTACAAGTCAGAGGCTAGTCTGCACCAGAATCTTCACAGGAATTGACTCTCCTCCCCATTTACATAATACATAATAATGCTTGCATAGCGTTCAAGCAGTGAGCTGGCTCTTAATTATTATGCATGGCACCTTATAGCTATATTGTTATCACCCCAAACACTCATAATATTTCTCCTCCCTTGGAGGGTTTTATTTATACAAACCAGGAAATGATTGGGGTTTGTATAGAGTAGACATTTAATCCATAAGCATCTTTTTGATGTCTGCCATGTGTCCAGCACTGTGCTAAATGCTGAAGAAACAAAGATAATCCCTGTCCTTGGGAAGCTTACTGATGTAAGCAGTTGGCAGGGGGGGGAGCATCTACATGGTTTTATTTCCCTTTAGATCAAATTAAAATTTGATCTAAATTATCTAGAGATATATATATATGTGGAGAGAGAGAGAGATGGAAAGAGCAGAGGACTTGCTGAAAAAAGTTGTTGAGGTTTTTTATTCTTTGAAATCACATCTCTTATTTAACAACCTTATAAATCTTCGGAAGGACAAAACTTTGTCAACACTAGTGCAGAGGCAAGGGTCCAGGTCCAATCTATTGTGGAGCAATTCCATCATCTCAAAGGGATTGTGCACCTCTTTCTAGGTGAAGCACTGAGATAGCTCCAGAGAGATACTTATAAATAGGGCCTTTGAGGAGTGGGCATTCTGATTGTATCAAGTTGCTTCTCACCTCTTTTAAGCAATCTTCTTATAGCCTAGTTGCCCTGCTGTCGATGGGTGGACTGTAGCTTCGCAGTGTATTCACTAAAACATGGTGCTCAGAACTGAATCCAACACTCCAGGTGTGGTCTGATTCTGGAAATGTCTTGTAGGCCTGTGACCTCCTTTGAGGTTCTTTGATTTAATCTGTTCAAAGGTATCATCAGTCATGGGGAAAGAATGAGGACCTACCTTACTTGAGCCTTTTATGTATTTACTTCTTTTTTTTTTTTTTCAGGGAAGCTGAACTGGCCAACCTTTGTAATAATGAAGCATCTGTATAATGGTTAGTGTGTTATATAGAGACTCTGCCAGTTCCAGCCTTGGCCCTGTGCTTAGCCACTTGTAGCACCAGCAGCCATGTCCGCATGACAGATACTTCTTGCTCTGTCAAGAGGAACAGAACCATAGAGCATAGGTTGAGAATTGGAAAGGACCTCTAAGGTTGTGTAGTTCAGCTCTGTCATTTTACAAATGAGGAAACTCAGGCCCAGAGAGGTCACGTGATTTCCCCAATTTGATTCAATACCAAGCATTTATTAAATGCCTTTTACGTGCCAGGGACCGAGGATACAAAAATCAAAATGATCTTTGCCCTCAAGGAGCATACATCCAACTAGGTGGATACAACATGAGCACAGATATATTCAAAACCATTTCAAGGTGAATGTTCAAAGTGAACTTGCAAACAAGACAGACTTCATGTAGGAGGTACCTCCTTTAAAATTAGGCTTTAAAGGAACACAGGGATTCTGAGAGGTAAAGCTACATTCTAGCTTTGAGAGACCACTTATTCCAAGGCACAGAGGCTAGAGGTGGACCATCAAATACAGGGAACAGCTAGCAGGCTAGATTTTAACATGAAAGACTGGAAAGGTCACACAGGTATCAAGTGGCAGAGTCGGGATTTGAACCCAGGTCTCCTGACTCTGGATCCAGCACTCTTCTCCTGCCCCACAATAAAGTTTTTTTTTTTTAAATAAAGTTAAAGCAAAAGGATTGGGGCATTTTATGAAATGGCATGTCATACTGATTTGGGTTCATTTCTCTTGTGCAGAAGAAAACCAAGGAAACGTACAGGTTACAACAGAAACTCTGCCAAACCCTACTGAAGAAGGACAAGGTATGAAGGTCCATGGGACTAAGATGATTAGTAATGCAGAGCACAGGAGTAACAAAGTGAGTAAAAGTCTCCCACCTGGGTGCATCGACTGCCCAGATGTAGACAGAATCATGACCAGTGGTGAGGTTTCAGAAACCAGCACCCTAGTGTCCCTAGAGCCTTTGACCTCTGTGGAGCCTGGATTGACAAAAGCGCCTTCAACAGAAAAAGAATGTGAGACATCCAGTGCTCGTCCACTTTGGCCACCATCACCAGAGGACAGTGCCAGCCTCCCAATGTGTGGTGGAGACACACTATCCAAATTGAGCCTTGACAATCACCAGCACAACTGTGGCTGTGACATTGAAAGTCCCTCCAAGACCAGCAGTCCTCAGGCGAAGAGCAAGGAAAGCGGCATGCTTCCTTTGGAAGCAGACCCCCAAGGGGCGTGTTTCCCTTTGAGCTTACCCTGTGTGGGGTCTGGAAGTATCTCCCTTGAGGAATGTGGCTCTGGAGATGACCCGCAGGAGACGGGAAAACCCTTCTGTACTGGAGAGGTCCCGAGAGAAGAAGGCTCAGCTTCTAGATGGGAAGGAGAAGGAATCCAGAGTGTCAGGAGCAAAAGCAGCCGAGCGCTCGCTGTCGACGCCAAGCCAGGAGGAGAAGAGAGCAGCATGCCTCCTTTGAACCGTGCCAGTGGCCAGAGAGGATGTGCCTTTGATAGCTGCTGCACACACAGCCCCAGTCAGGGGACTCAGGGTCCCCAGCAAGAGAACTCTTGTTCTCCTTCAGAAGAAGATCCTACAAAAGGCCCTTCGGAAACACAAGAGAATCTCAGAAAACATGAAGGCAAGAGAGTAAGCTGCCCTTGTGATACACACCAAGATGAAGACTCCATAAAGGAAAGTGACTCCTGGGTGATGCGGACTGAAGAATCAGAAAAGATGGTCTCTGCGGATGCAAGTGTGTCAGGCAGGAATGTGGACGGTCAGAATCCTGGTTCTTTGGTCAGCAGCCAGAGAGAGGCCTAGGGAGCTGCACTGAGAAGAGAGACCCCGCTGCTTGTTCTGTGCCAGATGAACCACCCATGCCTGTAAGTAAAGTCTCAGAGGTCAAAAGTGTTCTTCCTCAGCTACAGAGGGACCAAAAATGGGACCTTGCTGACCAGCCTGAGGTAAAAAAAATTATAGGAGTCTCAAGTAGGGCTGTTACTCCATTTGTAGATGGACAGAGAATTGCTTCATATCTTGCTGAGTCCCATGAAGCCAAAAGGAAGCGTTTATGTGTCTTATCTGGAAAGATGTCCTTCGATGCTGGTGACCACAAGGGAGCAGCGGCTCCCCAAGAGTCGTCTCCAGGTGGTCGTGCAGAAGACGTCTGTAAGGGAACGAGTGAGGCTTCTCAGCAACAGGCCAGCTCTGTGTTGGAGGATGGAGTCGGGGTCATTGCCAACCAGCAAACCATTCTGACCCAAATGAAAAAAGGGAAGGATGCCTTCCGCCCAGGTGCCACCACCTGCCATGCCTCTTCCGAGAATCACGTCAGTGCTAAAGCAGTAAGCTTCAATAGGGTGCCAAATGACACAGTCATAGGAAAACTGGCAGTCATGTCAGGCCTTGAAAAAGAAGTAGCAGAATTATCTGAAGAGGCTCCTGACTTAGAGCATGAAAGTGCCCAGTCTCAGGGATGTCACAGCTGCCACCAGAGAGTTGAGAATGCCCCAGAAGGGGACATGTACTCAGAGGGTGTTACCTACAAGTCCATTGCAATCTCCCCAGAAGCTGAGAATCAGTCTGTGTTGACCTGTGAAGACATGTTGGTGCCCAGTGATCCTCCCTGTCCAGGAACAGGAAGTAGTCTGGTAGGAAGCATCCTCAGTGTGAGACGTCCCTCGGGAAATAATGAACTTTCTAGAGAAGAAATTGAAGATAGTCTTCAAGAAGGCAAAATCAAGAATGAAGTGGCTTCATGTTCATTACTCAGCAGAGCCTTAACCAAAAGCACACTTGCCTTGAGCCATGTTAAGCCTGGAAATTTCATAGCAAGATCAGCTGGAAAGACAGGCTTAGAAGAAAATAAACTAGGACCACACAGTAAGGAGACATCGTTACCTTGCGACTCCCATCTCTCTGGACATACTGTTTTAGAAAGCAAGCTGTCCTCAAACATTTCAAGTCCTACAGAGCCAAAGGACCTGTGTCTTACCACAGAGCGCTCCAGTGTTAGGATTGCAAACCAAGCAGACGGGACAGATCCAGGCCTTAATTGTCAGAGTGACCTTAACAGACTGGTTGAATGCTGGAGTGAAAGTGAATCATCCAAGAGTGACCATCATGGCCTGGGAATCTTTGAGGTCCAACATACGGATCGTCATAAGCGTGAAGATGTTGCCAAACCTAACAGAGGGTTGAGCTCCAGTCACACAGAACTTCTAGTTAAAGACTTAAGCAACATCCAGCCATCTTGTAGTCTTCCAAAGAAAAATATCTTTAAAACTTCCCTAGCTAATGAAGACTTTACTGTGTTGTGCAGAGCAGACCCAATTCAGCTTGGTAATAAGCTCGGAGAAAAGGTGTCGGAAATGAAAGAATCTGATTCCACTGGTAGTTACAGAAGGCAAGAGGAGCCCTCCTGGCATCAGCCAGACAGGCCTTTGAGAAGTAACCAGTCTCAGGGAGGAGGACTGATTGACCAGGACTCTATTTTACCGTGTGCTTCTGATTCTTTTAATATGAGATCTCTGAAAACTGTACCATCTTGTAAAGGGACACCATCAGTTGAACAGAGAGATGATGGTCTTCATAACGAGGTAACCCAGGAAAGTAAGACGCATGGGATGGGATCTGTTACCAATCATGAGCAAAATACAGAGTTGTCAGATACCATGAATGTATTGTTAGGGAGTACTCATCGTGGGAGAATTGTTGAAGAAATGCTTCCAGGAGAGACAGAAGAGACAGCTAGTGGGTTAAGGCCACAAATGAATTCTGCATTTGATGACGAAGATTCCTTAGAAGTTTATTACAGAGAGCCTGTGTTAGGATCTGTCCAGGCAATGCCTTTGCCTATCTCTTCCCTAGGAAATTCACCAACTGGTTCAGATGGTCCTGTGGCTGAAAAAGCTGAAACAAAACAGCTTCCTGAATCAGTAAATGTCAGAGTGCTCCCTGAATGTGTAAAGAGCAGCACCATGAAGACCAAGGGGAAGAAAAGAGGAATCCCTAACATTGGTAGCAGAGGCAAAAGAGGCGCCCCAGGAATGTTTCAGCTGGAGCTGGTCTCCAGTGTGGCACCTTCATCTAATGAACTGAATCCAGGAAATAACATGGACAGAAGAGAGACTGGAGAATACCGAGGAACACAAAACGATTTGAAAGTCAGAGAGGAATGTGAAGGCAAACCTTGGAGAGAAGATGGTGGAGATAAGAGTTCACACACTAATGGGCCACATTTTAAACGAAAGAGGGTATGTGGAGAGACTGAAACACAGAAAGCCTCAATTGTCCAGGGCTGCAGGTGTCTTAAAGGAGGGCAGGAGGGCATGCAGCCAAAGAAAAGGGGAACCTTTTCCCAACGGGAAGAATCACTGAATGGCCAGCCTTTCATTGGGCCAACAGTGAGCCCATCGTCACAAGACTTGGCAAGTCAAAGCCGCCTTAAGGGACATGCACATAAGCGGAGCACTTTGAAGAATATCACAGGAGCCAAGGTGTACGAGGATGAGCCTTTTCCTCAGTTTCTAAAGATGGATGGTTCAGAGGCGGGAAGACGAGCTCTTCATTTATGTCCCAACACTGAGTCACCTTTAGGTCCCCATCTCATCTCTGCCATGATGCCCCAAGGTATCAGTGGTACTGGATGTGAGAAAATACACAATACTTTTACGATGACCCCATATCAAAGAAAATCTCTTCCGCTCTTAAAAAAAGGGCTAAACATCACTTATCGTGAGCCCATCAAAACTGGAAGAAAAATGAATGATATCCAAAAGTGGATTCTTCTAAAGCATGCTTCAGAAACCATCTCGGTCAAAGAACACAAAGTCCTCAGCTGGTCCTCTGCTGCCCCTGCATCCTTAGCTTCAGTGGCCAGTCACATGCCCAAGCCGAAAGCCATGAGACGCCTTCTGCTGAACAGCACAAGACTTCAGAAACCTACCAAAGAGTCGGCCTTGCTAAACAAGTTGTCTGTTCTGGCCAGGAAGCTGCTGGCCGTGTCCACAGCGACCCCAGAGTTAGGATCTCAGCCATGCTCTGCTGAACTTCTTCCGGTGGCTGAGACCTGCAAACGGCTCAGGTTTAAAAAGCTCCAGGGTGAATCTCCTTACAGTATGATGCAGATAAGCCTACACATAGGTGATGATGGGTGCAACAAGACACCTGACAGTCAGACTTTGGCACTTTACCCCCTTGAAGCCCTCAGAGTGGGTTTCTCAGACTTGATGAACAAAATGCCGTCATTGCAATTCAATGCCCAGATCTTCCCAATATCCTTTCACATAAACCTGGACTCAGAGCTCACAACTGATTCCACAAGGATTTTTTCTGAGCACTGCTCCCCTCCTGAGAATGCCCCCGGAGGGGACCCCACGCACCCACCTCAGCCTCCGAAGTGGACCTTTTCCTTCCTTGTGTCCCAGGGCTCTTCAGGGACAGCCACGTTCAGGGAAGAAGATGGGCTCTCCCGTGCTGCTCTGCAGACCCTCTCCCCCGAGCAAGCCCCTGGCAGCAATGCTATCGTGAAGGTCAGAGCTGGTTGCTCTGTCCTTGGCCTTCATACAGTTTTAGCACTTTCTTCCCCTGGATGTTATAGGATCTGGACGAGAAGAAGGAGCTTATCCAGTCATTTGCCTACCATACAGAGGCTCTTCGTGACTCAGTTTACGCAGGGCTTCAAAGGGTTAAGGCCTTCAGCATCTCTGTCCAACAGTCTCTTCCCTTCTCTGCCCTACTCAGTGGGCAGGGTGCTGTCCATATGGAGCCAGCATGATCCTTCTGCCCGCCCCTTCGAAATCACTACTCTCCATTCCAAACACAGCAAGTGGCCGCCAGCTCTGGGCATCAGGAACAGGTAATGTCCAAGTCTGTCGGCTTTTTTTTTTTTTTGCAAATGTTCAGTGTATAATCCCTGCCACTGGGGAAAGGAGATGGGGACTGAGTTAAGTGGGCAGCACAGGATTCTTTTCTGGCCTTTTCTTCCTGCCTTCCTCTTCTGATAACCTGGCCGGCTCTGCAGAGAAAGGCCGATAAGTCTTGTCTAGATTCCTTCTGTTGTCCCAGAAGGGCTCTCTTCTTTTTTTGATTTCATTTCCTGGATTCTTGCCACTCTTGAAACTCCCATTTCTTTCTTTTTTTTTTCTCTCCATATTTTTTTCTCTTTCAGCCCGAACTCAACATGAATATATGCTCTTGATAATGTCTCAATGAGAAATAATAATAGTAAATAAATAATAAAATGACATCCTATAACCCTTTTCATCTGTACTTTCAAGTTGGCCCTGTGCCTCACACACACAGTCTCTGTAGTAGCACCTTTCTTCAGAGATCTTTGAAGAAAGTAATGTTCATTACCCAAACATGGTGGAATTTAGCTCGTGACCTTTTTCAATCTGGAAAAGAGGTTTGAAGGATTCACTGTACAGCATCTGAGCTGTGACAGGCCTGGAGATGAGTTCCCTTGTTATACTTTCAGAGGCCAGTGCTTTCCTCCACAATGGTTGGGAATCACCTCATCTATTACATTTGCTAATTGTTCTTGAAAACTTAAGAGAAGGAGAAATTGAATGGTGGCTTCTGCTCTCCCTAGTAATTGGCCTGGCTTTCCACCTTCTGATTCATTTAAAAAAAAAAAACCCACACACATTGGATGTTAAAGCACAAGAATTTCAGAATATCTTCCTCCTACGTGTCCACTGTTTTCTGGTAACTGGAATAGAATGTAAGCTCTTCAAGGGCCGAGACTGGTTATTTGTTGGCTTTTGTAGGCAACCTGTTCTTAAATAGATGAATTTTAAAAACATACCACCCCAACCAACCCTTTAAAAGTTCTGAGGAGCCAAGGCTAAATTAATGTCCCTTGTGTTGTAGAGAAGGCTCATTCAGGTGTTGTCAAGACAATCCAGAATGTTTCAGAATTTGTCACTTCCAAGATGTTTCTCTGGGCCTGGCAGTTTTTGGGGCTTACCAGCAAAACAATTTTAAAGAAAACAAAAGCCCAGAAGTAGCCCCCAAGAACCTCAGGGTTCTATTCCTTAAAGATCCTGAGAATGGAGCAATTGCTGATTTAAGAAAGGCTAATGGGGCCGCTAGGTGGTGCAGTAGATAGAGCACTGGCCCTGAAGTCAGGAGGACCTGAGTTCAAATCTGACCTCAGACCAAACACTTGACACTTACTAGCTGTGTGACCCTGGGCAAGTCACTTAACCCCAATTGCCTAAAAAAAAAAAAAAGACAAAATAAAAAATAAAAAGAAATGCTAGCTGAGATTCTTGGGTCAAGCCTTTGTGGGTTGTGCCCTGTGGGCTGGTCCGTTTATTGACTGATCCCTTGGGAACAAATCAAGTTGAAGAATGACAGAAGCTCCACTGTCTATGTGCCTCTGACCTCTCACACAGAGCATGAGCCATTAAGTCTGTTAAACTTTTGGAGAGGTCTCCGAGTTGAGTTTGGGTCAACATTTGATCATTTCACCATGTGATGAGTTGACTGAGCCACTGACCTGGCTTCTTTTTCTTCCATATGATTGTCTCTTCCAAACTGGCACACACATTCATATTTGTCATCTGTCTCTTTCTCTCATTTCTTGATTTCTCTGCCTGTGTCTCTGATTCTTAGAGTTTTGATGGATAGGCCTTTGGGGGCTTTTTTCACAGGGAGGGACAGGGAGAAAGAGGCTGTTCTGCCACAATGACACCTGTGAGGACAAGGGAGTTTCTCCTTAGTTTCAGATCCTTACCAGTCATTTAAGAATTCCCATCCTGCCATGTGCTTTTCAAGAAGGTCCCTCAAAGTTTCTTGCCAGGGCTGAGAGATGATTTCCCAGCCTTTAGTCTGTAACTCACATTTCCATCTATGGACTTCAAAAGGCTTTTCCTTTAATTAATTAATAGACACCTATTAGAGGATTTGTTGCCTTCCCTAAGCAAGGCATGTGGATACTGATGATCTCAATTTTTTAACCCAGTGGTGTGGATAGCTTTGGACAGCCAAAGCTTCCATTAATCATTAATATACATGTGTCTCATGTTGTTACATTTTCAAAAACCTCCTTGGAGCCTTGCCATCCCCTTGTGAGATAGCACAGGCAGATACAGTCACCATTTGCAACATATGGTCAGGGTTAGAAATGAGAAATGTGGAGGATAGCTGCCTGCCCCAAGACCACAGTACCATTTACCAGCTCAGATCGTAGGATTGCTACCTTAGTGATGGGACTGACATCAAAGGGCCTTACGATTTGGTATGGACAAAGACTTTTATGCCTTTTTTTGGTCAATGCCTGGTTTGGGTTTTTTCCACTGGATTAGAGACATGTTAGAGCAGCAAGGAGACTTAGAGATATAGTGTGTGCCCGTCATTTTACGGGCCAGGCCGAGAGATGTAAGCAGCTCAAGGCTCCCCCACCCCTGGGAGGGAGAGGAGCAGGGGCAGGATGGGGTCCTGGGAGGGTGCAGCCAGGTGCCTTCACATACTGCTGTGTGACTAAGGACAGTGGCAGCAGTAACTCGGGTTGACCATGAGGGGTTTAGTTTGCCAAGAGCTTACCTGCTCACCCTTCAGAACCTCTTTCTATTGGGAGGAATTTGTTTTTAGGCTTCCCAGAAGTGCCTCAGTAATGAAAAGAGTATTCTGGAGGTCATAAAAATTGGTATTTCCTCCAGGAAGGGTAACGGACTCCCTCTGTTGGAAGAGCTTCAGAGCCCTCCCCAGTTACAGAGCAGTCTTTATGGTGTGTTGGTAAAAATAGCCACTTAATCAGAAAGGTGACGGCCCTGTGGGCAGCTGCTGTCCCACTCCTGTTCCTCAGAGACTGGCCTCGGTTTCCTCTTCCGTCCATAAGGCTGATGAGGGCATCACAAGCAGATTGTCCATGTACAAGAGCAGCACAGGGTGCCCATTGAGCAGGCACCATGTAGGCACGCCATCTTTGGATCTTTTTTTCCTCGAGTCACATTTGATAAGACGTGCTCAGAGTCTGCCAGTGCTCCCCTCCCGTCCCCTCACTGCCATGCTTGGCTCCCTCCCTTCCCTTTTCTTTCATCCTTAGGCCTTCTCTCTTTTTAAGCTCCAATGTAGGACCGTGACCAGCCTGCCTGAGCTACCAGGAACGCCCAGCACGTGGACGCTCTCTTGATTGCGTTTGTCGGGTTTCTTTCTTTTTCGTCTGGTTTTTTAAGATGCCAGACTTTTTCCTTGGGGTTTAAAACCACTGTAGAGGCTGCATTTTTCACCCTGTTGTTCCGTGCCCCTGACCTGCCTGCTTTTATGCTTTCTCTCCCTCACGCCAGCCATGCCGTCTTACCGCACGTGCCTCTGTTGGGCGTGGAAGCCACCACTGGTAGGACCGGAGGCGGTCTAGTTAGGTAAGCTTCATGCCATCTGTTCTCCACCACTCACGATAGGGGGGGACTCGGGGGCCCCAGTGTGCTGTGCGTTACCCGGAGGGAAAGGGGCAAATCAGGGACGAATGTGAATAGTTTAAAACACTAAGTGAAGAAGCCTCTGTGAGCAGTGGGTGGCCCTTCTAACAACACCTGTTGACATGAATGCGAGTTTAGCCCACCCCCCATCAGGTAAGTATATCACCTGAGCCACTGTCTCTGTCCAGTGCTCCATAACCCTTCCTTATTACAAAAGATAGTGAAATGAACTTGGAAGTCGTACATTCTGGCCAGGTGGTGGTCACAGAGAGTGCTCTACTGGGAGGTCAGAGACCTGGCTTTGTTCTCTGGCTCTACCCCGTGCTCATCAAGGACTTTGGCTTCCTGCTTCACAGGCAGTTAGGAGAAAGCACTTTGTGAAGGTTTTCTAGAAGTGTTCTTTACTTCTTGTGCATATTTGCTGGCATACAGCTCATGGAAGGCTCCTTTAGGGGGCCAAAAAGAGTTTAGCTCAAGGTATTCTCTCTGGGAGGTGGTGGGCCAGAACAGTGGCACCATTTCATCATGTCTCCAGCCCTGCTGTGGATTTCCAATGGACTAGAACAGGGCTTGGCAAACTCCTTCCTAGCTCAAGGGGTCCTACAAAAACAAGTAGCCTGTATTTTGCTGACCCTTCGGCTAAATAGAAGTAAGAAATGGTCATTTCTAATGCTTTCCTTCTCTCTTTCCCATTATCTTAGGCTGGGATCTCCCTTCTCTGCTTTGGTACCAAAGTCCCGCTTAGCCTTTGAACCAGTGGTCAGTGTGCTCCGACTTTCAGCCTCTGACTTCCAGCTTCCTGCTTTCAAAGAGCTTAGGAGAGTCCCCACAGTGTGCACCAGTCAGCACAGTAGTGCCACCCAGAAGGAGGTAAGTGGGGATGATGCCCCCATCCCCGCTGTCCAGAGAGTTCCCACGTGGTAAACAGATTAGCCTTGTTCTGCTTGGCCCCAGAGGGCAGAACCAGGAATGTCACGGGGATACTTCAGAAGAGGAAAATTGGCTGGCCGTCAAGAAGAATTTCCTAATGGTCAGGGCTATCCAGAAAAAGAAACAGTCTGCCTCAAGACACAGTGGATTTCCCTTCTTTTTGTTGGAGGGGCCTCTGTCTGGGGGCGGGGCGGGGCTGGGCTTGGTAGGCACTGAGGTCTCTTGGATCACCGGGATTCTGTAGTGTCTGCTCTTGAAGGGGGCCGTGACCACAAGTAGAGACATTCGTTGTTGATCACAGCCTGGGCACCCTTTGTGCCCCTTGAGCTCCTCCTGGGGGCTGGCCCTACTGCTGCCAGTCTTGGCCTTCTTCTGGTCCAACCAAGAGGTGTGATCTCACTTGGCATTCCTGGCTAGCTCTTGTCTGAGCGTATCATTTGGCAGTAGACCACCCAAATGGTGAAACGGAACGAGTGTGTGAGTTCTGTACGTCCAGAGCCGATGCCCCGGTTTGCTTGACTACCTCCTCCCCCAAAGCACAGCATCTCTGTCCTTAGGGCTCTCCTTTGCTGTTCTTACCTCTGCCAGGCCCTTGTGCTCTGCTCTGGTGGACTCCCAGGTGGGTGAGAGAGCACAGAACAAAGAGATGTCTGTGAGGAATCTTCCTGTTCCACATTTCACAACTGCAGCTTGAGGTTTCAGTCGTATAAGTTGGGATTGGACAGGGTCAGGGACAGCCTCTTGGGGAACAGATTGTTGGTCCCAGTAATTCAGGAAAGCATGAAATGATACCTTAGGCACCCTACAAAGCTGCTTTGTCTGTTCATTGGTTTTTGTTATTTTTTTTTCACTATCTCTTCTCTCCATCCTAACCCTTAAAAACAGATTGAGTCAGAGAAGCGACCAAAAAAAGTGTCACAGATTCGAATCCGGAAAACCATTCCTAGGCCAGACCCCAACCTCACCCCCATGGGACTGCCTCGACCCAAAAGGTGAGTAAAGAAGTCTTACAGCTTGGGAGCAGCTGAGACTGTGATCCTCCACCTCGGCGTCACCTCTGCGTTAGCTCTTGGAAGGGGATGCTGACTTCCTGGTTCATGGCCCAGGGAGAGCCACAGCTGAAATATAAAGCTGTTGGGAAAGGCTGCCCAAAGGGAGCTGAACTGTCACTGCCTAGGAGAGTCAGGCGAGAACTCGTGATGTCCTTATTCTGGGTAATCGCAGGATTTTAGTTGACTCCTTGCTACTCTTGCTATGGGTGGAGTCTGACAAACGTTGCCCTGCGTATTTTGACCCATTAAAACTCCTTCCCTCTTCAGTCAAGTCCTTTAGATGGGCCTTCATTTATTATTACTGTTTTTTGTTAAGTAGAGAGAACGTTTTCTTAGCTGGTCGTCTGAACTGGACCGCCCAGATGCTTTTTTCTGGGGCCCCAGAAGCTTTGTCATGAGCACTGAGTGTGAGAAGAGCTAGTCAGCTTGTTTCAGTAGCCTGGGAAGGGGAGCTGTTCTGAGCGGAGGACTGTCCCCAACCACACTGGCCGGCACATACTGCTGGACATGCTCAGCAGATCAACTCCGTGGCCGTGTCTGATGACTCCTCCCCTCTCTCGCACCTGCCCCCTTCTGGGAGAAGGGGAGCAAAGTGTGGGCCCACTCAAAGCAGCCACTCACTCAGCCTTCCCATGATGCTCTGGAGACAGACAGCTGCAGCCCCTCCTTTGCTGGGCACAGACCCCGTTGTTGCCCTACTCAGGGGAAATACGTCTCTTCTAAGGGGCTCAGTCTTCATGCAGGGAGAGGTCTCCTGCTGTCTGGGCAGAGAACACTTGACCAAGGGTAGGAGTCCTCGGGTTCTAGTCCCAGCTCTGTCCCGTCTGTCCTCCTGTAGAAAATGGGAATGACGGCGCTCAGCGCCTCACCCGATGCCTTTGGGGTTAGATAGACTACTGCTCATGGGAGGGCTTTGGAAATGGCTCTGCCCATGAGGATGCAGGGTGGACCATGTTCTCTTCTTTTAGGCTGAAGAAGAAGGAATTCAGTTTGGAAGAAATATACACCAATAAGAATTACAAGTCCCCTCCCGCATCCAGGTATGTCCCATGGGATTAGGGAGCAGCATGTAAGGCCCAGCCATTTCTCTCTAAGGCCCCAGTTTACAAGAGTGGTCTCCAGCTGGTCATGGGCAATGCAGAAGCAAACTCCCAAGGCATTGCTCCCATCCTGCGTCGCAAGAAGCGGGTGGTGCGACGGGAGTACTCTCCAGATCCTTGCACGTTGGGCAGGTGGACCACCAGGATGGCCAGAATTGGCCCCAGGTTGTGAAACCAGAGACGAGGGTGGTGGCTGCAAACAGGCAGGTCTAGGCTTAGTGTCAGAGCAGATGTGCTAACAATCGGAGCTGTCCAGAAGGGAAACGGGCCCCCCCTGGGAGGCGGTGGGCTCCTCTTCATTCAGGGTCTTCCCAGGGACATTTTAAAGGGATTCCTGCCTAGCAACAGGTATGACTTGCCAGCCCTGGTCCTTGAGGATTCTTCTTAGGGTGTCTGTAGGGGAAGAAGAGGGGAGCCCGTAGTGCGGGGCTGATGGTCCCATCTTGATCCCCTGATCCCAGGTGTTTAGAGACCATCTTTGAAGAGCCCAAAGAGAGAAATGGGGCGCTCATTTCCGTCAGCCAGCAGAAGAGAAAGCGGGTCCTGGAATTCCAGGATTTCACTGTCCCTCGGAAGAGGAGGAATCGTGGTAAGATCAAGGCAGTGGGCAGCTTTACCAGGGCAAAAAAGGCTGCCCTCCAAAGCCAAGAGCTGGATGCCCTTTTGATTCAGAAACTGATGGACCTGGAGGCCTTCCTTGCCAAGGAGGGAGAAGAGGAGCCGACGTCAGGCTGCTGAGAAGTCAGCTCCGTGGAGGAATTTGGGGGCCTTGTGTTGGTCCTTCTCTTGGACCTCCTTGACAGGGATCTCATGGCTTTTCCCAGTCGTCAAAACCACTCAGCCGGCATGAGGGATCCCTGGTTAACGAGGTGCAGACGTCTCTTGTGTGGTTGAGCAGCTTTCTGCTTTGCTGCTGAGTGTAGGGCCTCAGGAAGGCCTGCCTGCCCTCTCCTGCCACCTTGGGACCTCCCCAGGGCTAGGCAGCAGCCCTCCTTCTGTAATAACACTAGGATTCCCAGGACCCACCCACTCATTTTGCACGTCCCTGTGGACTCTCCATTGTTTACAGCGGTGCTAGTCACAGAAGCTAAATTACCTTGTTCTTGGGATCCCCCAGTTCACCGGAGGAGTTGGTGAAGGTTCGTCCTGATTATGTTCTTCAGTCCTGGGAATGAGTCTGCTTAGAACTGGGTTCTGTGTGTGTGGCCTGCCTTTCCCCAGAAGCCCTGCCCCGCCCTACCTGCTGGTGGCCTTGGTCACTGGCACCAGAGGAGCCCAACAAGGCACCATTCCAAGTCAGTTGCACTTTTCAATGTTGTGGTGTTTCCTCTTTTTATTATTATTATTGTTGTCATTGTTATTATTATTAATAATAATTATTATTATTATTGCTGCATGTTGGGAGCCTTTAAATGTGATTTTTGTTTTTATTTTTATTTTTTAACATGTGGAGGAGAAAGGCAATTATCTGTTTTAAGCAAAGTCTGTTCAATATGTGATGTGTCTCTGACCCAGTCTCTCACAGGGCAGTGGGAAGCCATATCCCCTCTCACCCTCCAAGTGAATGGACTTCAGGTCAAAGAGCAGGTTTTTCTCCAGGTAGCTTTTAATATACTAGGATCAGGTGGGATTTTACTTTGTTTTTACCGCCAAAATGATGGAGGCGATGGCAGACTTAATCCCTGGGGCTGCCTGGGTGGAAAAGCATATTACAAGCCATGGGCCTCAGGGAAGCCAGCCCTCACTGGCCCCAGGCAAGGACGCCAGGCCTCTGGGTCACTGTGTTTGTGAACCATACTTGAAGCTTTGCAGAGAGGCAGAGGGATCTCTAGCTGTTGGCTCCTCCTTAGTGCCTAAGCGTTTATTTGGTCAGAGGAATTCCGACTTCTCCACTTAATCCACTTGGCCCTCCTCCTTCCCTCTCCCCTCTGCATTTCTCTTTCTCATAAGCAGGTCTTCCTATGAAACCAGTGTAGAGAGCTGGGGTTCTCAGCCAGTGATGAGGTGCTCCCCCCCTGTCCTCCAGACTCCTAGCACCTCCTTCCCATCTCTGCTGGGGTGCCATGAGACCTGCACCCAGCAAGCCTCCAGGGGGCACACAAGACTCACCTGCAAGGTCTCACATGCCCACGAGGGATTATCTTGTTAGGGTCGGGTAGGGAGGGAGTTTGCTTCTCTGCCTTCTCTCTGCAGGTCGGCTGTCTGTGCCAGTTTGGGAGAGTGCGGGCTTTTTCCCTTGGAAGCTCCTGGCCTGGACGTAGAGACCTAGGACGTCCGCTCCAGCCGAATGGGACCAGACCCCCCCTAGTTGGACCAACTCCGTACCATACATGGCTGCACCACAGGCCCAGGCCTTTCTCTTGTGGACCAGCCAAATTCTAGAGGCCTGTATCATCAGGACCTGCATTTCTCCTTGATCCCTCTGCTTAGGGTGGGGGTCTCTTGATGCTAAGCTCCTCTCTCTGTGCACTACCTTTGAGGAGTAGCATGTGCCCTTCACAGCCTCTTTTCAGGGAGCCCCCTTCCTAGCTGTCTTGTTCCAGTGGGACTGTGTTGTCAGATGCGTTGGCGGTGTCTGAAGTTTGGAAGATACCAAGGCCATGGCACTCGGTGGACCAGAAGGCAGACACTGCGGCAGTGTCCGTAATGATGTAATTAGAGATGTCATTCCAGCTTCAGCATAGCCAGAAGTGGCACCCGTGAGGGCCGGGTGACCAGGGATTGGGGCCGGTGAAGCTCTGGCAGCACTATAGAGGGGGAAGGATCCAGGGGCCCACTGCGTTGTGTACCCAGGCAGCCCTGGTCATTTCTCAGTCGTCTGACTTTCCCCGTCTTCAGGGCTCCCCCTGCCTGGTCTCACACCCGCAGCTCTAATGTCGAAAGGGGCTAGAAAAGGCTTCTACCTGGAGGCCTCTGCCACCACCTCGAAGTCTCTGGTCAGGCTTTGAATCACTTACAGGAAGTTGATGGATCTGAGATGCTAGCAGCGCCGTAGCCACACCTGTCTTCAGGTCTACAGGCTTTTTGGTGGCACCTCTAGCCCCTGGGGCCCACGCTGCCCATACCAGGGACCAGGTTTTCTGCCCAGGTGGCCTAGATCAACTCAGAGGGTTGAATATTTTCTGTGCAGGATGGAGAAACCTCAGGTCTGAGCAGGGTTCTGCTGTCGCCTTTCATAGCTGGCTTTCCCCTTCCTGCCACCTTCCTTTCCCCCTCCATGCCATCCCTTGCCCCTTTCCAGTCTCATTTCTCTGTTGGTGTGAAAGTACCTCATTTAAGCCAATCATGTCTGTGTTGTCTTACTGAGGGGGGTACAGTGAAGAGACATGTAGCATTTGCCTTACTTGGAGCCCAACGAGCTCAGAAACTCATGCTGTGAATCCCAAAACATGATGCCCTCCCCCCCCCAGCTGTGAAAATCATGACACTTGGTCACACTTTTGCCTCAAGGGCATGCTGGAGCCGGAGCCAACTTAACTTAGAAGCATTGGGACATCCTTTCTCTGGGTCCCCCTTCCTCCTGCCAGGATTGGCCTGTGTGCACCACCCACGGGAGCTGGGGTGCAGCCAGGTGTAGGTTGTAGGTGGGCTGTGGGGTGGCAGCTCTAGAGCCGCCCTGTCCTTCTCCAGGTGAAGATTTGATCTTCTTTCATTAAACACTATATATATATTAAGGTCAACCTTTAGGCAGTGATGCTTTTCTCTTGTCACTTAGAGGCAGGGGAAAGATAGGCAGTTGTTTTGTTTTGTTTTGTCTTTTTCCTTTAATGCCTGTGGGAAAATATTTTTTAAGCTTTCTTCTGGTGTCTGTAAATGGACCTCGGATGTACCACGTTGTAGGTGGCTTTATCCAAAGCATTATACAGAATTGGCAGAAGTGTCCTTTCCTTTGTACCTTCTCAGGAAGGGACCCTCCTTGCCAAGAGAGCTGAACTCCTTCTGTCCAGTCACTGGACCCAACCCTGGAGAAGGCTTCAGCTGAAGGGAATCAGAGTTTACTATTCATTGAGCCACAAACCCAGCCCCCAAGTGGTCTGGATTTCCTGGTGGGTGGGGTGGGGTAGGGTGGGGTGGGATCTGGTGGGGGAGAGGCGATAGGCTGATGGTCCAAATTGTGGCTTAAGCATTTTCACAAGCACCTTTGGTGCTGCATTGGACTTCTGGGTGATGTGTTTTCAGCACCTGTGTGCTGGACAGGGCCAGTAGCTGCCTGAATAAAGTGTTTCTATCTTATGAGAAATAGTTCAGTGAAATTTGTACATTTGTGGTAATATTGGCATCAGTCATGCCCCTTGCAGTTTCATTTCTGTTTGGTAGTTTGTGACTCTAAAATTCCCACTGTTATATGTGTTAATTTATAGAAATAAAAAAAATTTTTTTTTTTTTGAAAAAGTTTCAAAAACTTCTGTCACTGTGATTCTTTCTTTGTTGTGGCTGTAGCCATGATGGGAGCAAAATGCAACGCCAGGGGAAGGGGAGAGCTTCTTCGGCCGCAAGAATCTAAACACGCACATTCGGGTGAATATCTTCTTCATAGTGATCCGCATGGGTGTCTTGGCTGTTGCCACTCACTGTGTCTCAGGGAAGATTTTTACTGATCGGCCTCATGTGACAACTCCCTCTGGGCCTGGGGTGGGCTGACCTTCCTGTCCTCAGAGGGGCCGTAGCCTCAACTTCGGGTCTTCAGACACCGCACAGAGTTATTCCAGATCTGATTCATGGGACAGGTGAATAAGCCAGGTGGCAAGAGACTGTGCCCTGCCCCCCCCTTTCTTAGTGCTTTGTGCCTCAATTACCTCGTATTGATCGTGCATGCATTTTGTTGCTACGTGCTTGGGCAGCGTGGCTTCCCACAGTGCACTGTTTTTGTATCCCTAGCAGGGCGCTTGGTACGCCATAGGCAGTTAAGGAATGCCTGTTGTTTGATTGGTCGGTCGGTACATAAGCTTGTGGATTCAGATCTGGAAAGGCTCCTAGAAGCTCGTCTAGGCCAGGGCTTCTTGTATGAGATGAGGAGGTCAACATCACACAGTCAACAAGGGCTCATTGAACATTTACTAATGTGCCAAGCACCACGTTAAGCATTAGAGATCCAAAAGAAAGGCACAAATACAGTTCCTGCCCTCAAAGAGCTTACGTTCTGTTGGGGAAGCATCCCACCAATGAGGACGTGTGCAAGATGATACGTGAACCAGAGGGAGGCCCCATCCATGGAGGACACTGGGAAAGGCCTCTTTCAGAAGGTGGGGTCTCAGCTGAGCCTTGAAGGAAGCCAGGAAATAGAGGCAAAGAGGGAGAACATTCTAGGTATGGGGCCAGCCAGGGAGAAGACACGGAGGTGGCAGATGTAGGGTGCTGTTGAGGAACGTCAGAAAGGCCAATAGTCAGCAGAGGGGAGTGAGGTGCAAAAAAACTGGGGAAGGGAGAAGAGGCTGTGTTGTCAAGAGCTTTCAAAGCCTGACAGGGTTTTATTTTTTATCCTAAAGACAATGAGGTCTTGCTAGGTACTCTGGAGCACAGATTAAAGGGGGGACAGATGAGGTGAAAGAGCCACCCAGAGGTGGGGTGATAGGGGCCTGCACCAGAGGAGTGGTCCTGTCAGTGGAGAGAAATGAGCGATGTTGCAAAGACAGAATCAACAGAATTTGACCACAGTCAGCTGCCCTGGGTTCCTAGAAGAGTCGGTACCTGGGTGGGCTGTGAAAGAAGGGAAGGCTTCCAGAAAATGGCCATGAGAAGAGACCTTTCCAGGTGTGCAGGAGGTGAGGTGTTGGGGGGAAGGGTTCTTTGGGGGTGGGGGGATGGGAAGTGGCTGGTTGGCTTTATTGTTTTCCTTTGTTGAAGCTCAGGTTTGCTTTCCTCTGCCTAGCTAAAGCTTCTGTTAACTGCTTTTTTGTTGTTATTATTTTTTGTCTTTTTGGACCCATTTTCAGGTACTGTGTTTAGAGAGGGTCACCAAAGTATCCCCAGCCATGAGCATGCCACCCTCGTTTGATTTTTCCATGCCCAGCTGAGAGGCTTTTGTGCTGGACTGACCAGAAACACCTCCACTACTTTCAGCAGGGTCTGGGATAAGTCCCGTTCCAGGAGCCAGACCTGGAGCCTCATGATAAGCAGGCACGTAACAGGGTGGCAGAGAGCCCACTAGCCGTGGGAAACCTGGGGTGAGAGAAAATCCAGAGGAGCGGCTTTCCCTTCTCCAGTAAAGATGGTAAAGGGTGCTCGGCCTGACCAGGCAGCTGCAGAGTCAGGAGCAATAGCCCGGGGTGGGGGTGGGGGGGTTGAGACAGTGCCCTGTGGTTGCCCAGGGAAAGGCAGAAGAATGTCGCAGTCTTGATCTGAACAAGTTGGATCTCAAGACATCATGATGATAGTTTCTGGAGATCGGTTGATCAGCCCCCATGTACACAGCAGGGAGCTCGAATTTGATTTCTTAAATGGGTCAGAATACTAGCTTTGACAAGTGTAAGTGGAATCGTTAGCCAGGAATCCTGGCTCATAATCTTGGGAAGGGAGTAAGAAGAATGGCCAGTGTTATGTAGCACTTGGAGGTTTGCAGAGTGGTTTACATTCAGGCAGTCAGCAAGCATTTCTGAAATGCCTGCTGTATGCCAGGCACTGTGCTGAGTGCTGGAGATACAGAAAGGAAACCATCTCTGCCCTCTAGAAGCTGACATTTTATCAGGAGAAACAGTTTGTGCAGAAAGAAACAGATCCAAATTAGATTCATTTTCTTATTTGACCCTGCCAGCAACCCTGAGTGGGAGGTGCTACTGTTATAAGTATTATACCCATTGTACAGATGAGACTGAGGCTCAGAAAGCCTAAGTGAATTGTCCTCAGAGTCTCAGAGCTAGTGTCAGAGAAGTGGGCTTTGAACTCAGGTCTTCCTAACTCGGAAGTGTAGCACACTGAGTCCACTGTGAGACCCAAACCCTGAGGACATGCCCTATAGCTTTGCAAAAGTTGCCAGAGCACAGGAGATTTCTTCCTAATTGTGGGGCTGTGTCATGGCAAAGTTGTGAAATAAGATTTTGATAAGTAGTCAAAACCAGTAATAACTTACCTTTGTTTCTTTACATTACTCATGTAAAATGAGGTAGGTCCATTGACAGCAAAGCCACCCTTTCTTATCCCCTTTGTCTCTGGAAATTCATTCGTTCACACTCTGTTAACAACAGTGACCTGGTTGGATTTTTTTTTTTAAGTAGTAATGCAGTTGGAGTTAAGTGACTTGCCCAGAGTCATACAGCTAGTGAGTGTTATGTGTCTTGAGGCCAGATTTGAACTCAGGTCATCCTGACTCCAGAGCTGGTGCTCTATCCACTGTGCCACCTAGCTGCCCGTTTTAATTTCATTTTTTTTTGGGGGGGAGCACCTAAGTGACTTGCCCAGGGTCACAAAGCTAGTTAAGTGTCAAGTGTCTGAAGCTAGATTTGAACAAAGGTCCTCCTGACTCCAGAGCCACTGCTCTGTCCACTGCGCCATCTAGCTGCCTCTTTGGATTTGGCGGGGGGGGGGGCACCTGAGTTAATACAATAGGCTCTCAGATCCATAATGGTTCCTTCCTCTTGCTTTATGGATATGGTAATAAATGAAAAGTTAGGCACACACTAGGAGAAAAATTCTTAATATTTGGGCAGAAGTTTGGCTCCTTGCCATCATTTAAATTTCTGTTTTTCTCTATATATATCCCCGGCCTCTTCATGATTGAATCAAAATTCAGTAGAGACACACATGGGGCATGTTTAGTGTCTGCTCATGGACAGTCAGCAAGAGGGGAAGTTGGGGAAGAGCAGGCCTGTCCTTGGAACTCTCAGTAGTCCCAGGAGTTAAAACAGGTGGCTTTAGCCTGAATCTTCTGCTCTAAAATGCCCAAAGGTCCAGTGACCCTTCTCAGGCTCCCTTTTCTGCCTCTGCTCAATCCTGCATTTTCTCTGCTTTCTCGTCTTGCTCCTGTGCCACCATTTTTTTCTGGGGAAGGCCATGTCCCCAGTGTTGCTGCTGCTCTCTTTACCTGTTGAAGTCCCCATCTCTTCCTCCCAGTCTCTCTTGCCTGGACTTGACTCTGTCTCTAAGAACTCCAAGCTGTGATACAATTCTGCCGTCTATCTCAGAGACTGCTGTAACCCCCAGTCTCTTCAGGAGAATGTTTATCCCTGTGAACCCCAAATCTGAAGATACCACATTCCTCCTCCAGGTTTGGAACTATTCACTTCAGTCCACCTGACACCCAGGATTAGAAAATCACATCGTCATTTGACAGAGCAAAGATGATTAACTTATCATCCTGTGTCCATGAACAGACACTAAACATGCCCCATGTGTGTCTCTACTGAATTTTCATTCCACCATGAAGAGACTGGGGATAGAGAGAGAAACATAAACTTAAGTGACAGCAGGGAGCCAAACTTCTGCCCAAATACTAGGAATTTTCCTCTTAGTGAGTGTGTGCCCAACTTTTCATTTATTATCATCTCCATATTGTATATGCTGTTAAATTATATATAACCAACCCAATGAGTAATATATTGTTTTTCTTATATCATTTATTAATGTTTATTATGTATTAATTATTAATATTATTAATATCTGGCCCTATAAACCTAGAAAAATGTTTGACCCTAAACCTTATTGTAGAGACTTAGCTGACCTCAGTGACACTGCATGGAAGCCTGATGGTTTTAAGGAATACTTAGATCCCACCCAGTTGCTTATTTTGGGTTCCACCAAAAGCTTGTGTTTTGGGTCCTCCAAATTACATCGACAGGGAGAGAGAGAGGGAGGAGGAGAAGGAAACCTGAGGGAGGGGGAGATGGCGCTGGCTCACGTTCGCTCTCTTTCTCTCTCTTCCTTCTCCCCTCCCCTTGAAGCTTACCTTCTGCCTGTATGAGGCCAGTCAGTCAAATGTCCCCTCTATATAATGTGAGCTCCCCAAGCCTGGGGGGCCTTCTTTCTGGTTCTCTCCCTAAAAAACAACCTGATGCACTTCACTATTCTGGATTGTGGGGGTTTTCTCATGGCTAGCAGATCTTCAGTAAGGCAGCTGAGCCCTTCGAAGGTCAGTTTCCTTCTCTGTAGGATGAAACGGACGGCCTCTGAGGCCTTTTCAGCTCTTTGTCAATAATAATAATAATAATACTAGCTAGTATTTCTATATTGTCTTAAGGTTTGCAAAGTACTTCACACCTACTATCTCACTTGCTCCCTGCAGTAGCCCTGTGAAGTAAGTATTACTGTCATCCCCATTCTACACATGAGGAGACTTGGCCTGAGAGCAGGGAAGTGAGTTCCCCGTGATCCCGTGACTAGGGGCAGTCAGAATCAGGCTTTGGAGTCTCCTGGCTTCAAGTTAAGCTTTCTTACTATCTGTACTTAATTAGCTAGGTTCTAGG